GGAAAGAGCTGCGGGGCCCTCCCTGCTCCCATCACGCCCTCGGGATGGGGCACACGGGCTGTGCTGGGCTCCAGCTGGCCATCAGCTCTGGAGACCTACTCACTCCTCCCATGGACTCCACACTGCACGTATCTCCATCGGTTATTTGTTTAAGGCTTTTTTTTTTTTCCTTTAAGCATTTATTTCTCCTAACACACAAAAAGGCATGGGGGTGCTGAACTGAATGCACACAAAGGTGGGTTTCAGCATTTGGCCCCACAGACCAATTTAACTTCCACTGGTGTGAATCCAAAAATAAATTTCATGTCTGTGTTTTGATTATGCAAAATTTTCTCTAGTGTAAATGAGATCAGAGCTTGGCCCTGGTGTTACTGCAACGAGCCGAGCCTGGACATCCAGCACTGATGGGATTTTAATTTTTTCTTGTTTTTCCCTTCAGTCATTGAAAGCAGCCATCAGGCAAAAAGAAGTTTGGACACAGAGATAAGGACTTCTGGTGCTGTCGTGGGCAGCATGGAGCTGGTGACGATGCTGGACGGAGGCCGGGAGCGGGCATCGCTGCCTGCCAGGCACAGCGCGGTGCCAGCGGCGAGCGCGGCCACGCAGCACGTCAGTCCCCCCGCCGGCGGTGGGGATTTCACCTCGCTGGGAGCAGGGCCCCCGGACAGCCTGTCTGCCGGGACAGCGACCCACCTGCCCACCCGCAGCCTTCCTCCCGGTGAGTTTTATTGACACAAGAGTCCCTGTTTGCCTTACCCAGCCCATGGACCGAGCGTAGCCGGTGGGTTAGGAAGGTTTCTCACCCTGTTGCTAGAAATTCAGATTTTTGGAAGAAATCCAATCCCAGAAAAGCTTATATTTTTTAAAATGTTACAGTGAAGGTGATTTTTGGGAGCTGCTGCTGTCGTTATTCACCACCCAGCAGCACCCCAGAGAGTCTTGCCCATCATGGACCTCAAAGCAGAGTGGAGACCCCCCTGCATCCCCATGCCTCCTCCCCATTGCGAACTCAACCTAGATTAAGGGTGCCCAAGTTAAAAATATCTGACCAGCTGCGTCATAATTTGTAGCTGAGGTCCTCACGTAGAGATCGTGCAAGTGAACACTTACCTTTGGGCTTGTTCATAATCTTCACCACTTTTGGTGGGACTGTGGTCATGAGTAAACTAATGTACTTTCTTAAGCATGCACTAAATCAAAGCCTGTTTCCCACACCAGAAGGACAAGGCTGTGCTGATTGCCCCGTCTCTATTTCAGGTTTTTTCTTAATATCCCCAGATGAAATAAGTGTCTCGCTGAAATATGACCATAGAGGCTATCTTTAATTTTTTAATTCCTCATTTTTTACTTCCTTATTTTTTTCCCTGCTTAAGGACTAGAGTATGGAGCTGGCATGCCCAGGCTGCCAGCTGCTGGCTGTCCTGGCATAAGCTATTTACTGCTTTGTGCATTTTTAATGTTAAAAAAAAAAATATCTGTGTTTCTCTTGCCATGCACAAATGAAGACAAGTTTTGAAATACTGATATTTTTTGGTGACAGAAACTGTCTGTTCCCAGCAGTCCCTCTTGCAGCATGCTCTATGTTAAATAGAGGAAACACAGGGGATGCTGCTGTGACCCTGTCTATTGCATATGGTAGGGCTGGGTACCACTGCGGGTGATGCTGCTGCCACCCCAGCCAAGTCACGTTAGCTTGTCCAGGGGGAACATGACTCTCTCTGTTACTTTCCAGCCACTGGAAGTCATCATCGTGCTGTGGGCAGCCAGGAGAGAAGCATGAGGATTTCTCCCGGCACCCCTGTGGCTGCGGAGGGCATACTGCGGGTTTTGGCAGCCACCAGCACCGATTCGGCCGAGAGGACGCTGGGCGGGCACCGTGAGGCCTGGGACATGGCAGGGTTCGACAATGCAATGAAGACGGTGCTGCTGCCTCCCTCCGCAGAGACTCGTCCCCCAGGTGAGCCATCCCAGTTCAGCCTGGGAATGAGGTGGATGCTGTTCCCCAGAGAAACTGGGCATCGGTTGAGCCTGGCTTCCCTGCATTGCTAGAGCTTTGTGCTCTGGATCCGGCCCTCCATCCTCACTATGTGCTCAGGGCAGTTTTCTGGCTTGCTTCATGCACAAGGGTGGAGAGCAGGATCCATGTGGCTTCTCCTGGCCTTGAAAATTGGGAATTACTCAGTGCAGGTCCCAAACATGAAGTTGCTGTAGGCAGAGTACAGGCAAGGGGACTGCTGGCTGCGGAGGGAGGCGGAGGGTGACAGCGGAGGATGCTGGGTGGGCAGCTCAGCCCGTCTCTGTGCTCTCATTTGCTTTCTCCCACTGCCTTGCAGGCGCCGGCAGCCCCTCTCAACCAGCAGGCACTGTGGCCGCTTCACCCAGCCCCTCGGGGAGCGGTGGGGGGATGCTGCGGTCCCTCCCCAGCACCCCCCTCCCTGGCTCTCTGGGACAGTCCCAGTCCTCCCCCCGAGCTCCCAGTACCCAGACTGGTGCGAACCGTGTGGCACTACACCTTGGGGATGTCGCAGGGGACTCCACAAGCCCTTTTCTCACAGCATTGCCTGCCATGGACAGCACTTTTGGAGGTGAGCTTTGCTGGCCCACGGGTTTGTTTTAGAGCTTTAAAAAGCCTTTATATAGCTTTTGCTTTCTTGAAACAGAGGAGATGCTGTGTTTTGCATGCGCTCTGTTGGTTATTATTTGGGTGGCTAGCTGAAATTCCCTGCTGAAAGCAGGAAAAAGCAATGGAAAAAATAATTTGGTCAGAATCCCCCAAAGTTTTCCACTTAAAAAAACCAAAAAAAGGTCTTTGGACCTTATAACTGTGTTTTCTGCAGGGTGGGCAACTGCAGCTGCGAAATGTCTTGGCTGGTTCAGTGCCAGCTGCAGAGCAAAGGCGAGGTCCCAGCCTCACCTGGGCTGTGTGTCCCACCCGAGCTGTGTGTCCCACCCCAGCAGTGCTATAGCGGGACATGAGGTCGGTAACCCACGCTGACAGCCACGCCGGCTGGGTCTGCTCTCAGTTAGACCGGGTGAGACACCCGTGTTCCAACAACCTGTACGGGACAACAAACCCAAGATCCCTGGGCTCCACATTTCCCCCTCATTTGCTTTGCAAGCAGCTATTTCTAGAGCTTTCAAAAACAGGGACTTTGCCCCACTGCACAGGAACTTATTGAAAACCTTGGCATTGCCAAGTCCTTATCCTGTGCCCGGGGCTTGCCAGGAGCAAGTGCATCCCCAGGGCCCTCACATTAACACGTCCCTTCCCTCTGCCACAGCTGCTGGGAGCAACAGCACAGCTGCAGAAAACCTGAGGTCTGATATCCGAAGGGCAGCACCCGGTTCTGCAGCTCAGCCCTCGGCCTCGGCATGGTCCTCGGTGGCCCCAGCGTGGGGACGTTTCCCTGGGTCCTCCACGGAGCACCGGCTCGCCCCTTCTCGCCCAGCTTCGGAAAGCGCTGCCACAGGTGAGCTTGGTTAGTCTACGAGTTGTTGTTTTACCCTATTTTGTGCTGGGTTTTGCACTTCCTTAAGCATTTTTCCTTGTGTCCCCTTAAACCCTGGGATGTATTGTGAGCTGCAGGCTCACGTGGGAACGTGGCCATGCGCAGGTTTCCCCTCTTTGCTGTTTGATACCATATTCAAGCTCCAAAAAAATACTAAGAGTGCTTGCGCCCATTTCCATCAGTCTTAGAGCAAAGGTGGGATTTAAAGGCAAGTCCCTGCAGTCCTTGTCCCGTGGGATTTCCCGCTGGGTGAGCCACCCTGGCTCTCACAAAGCTGCGCTGTCCTGGCGGTGAGCCCTGGGTTTTGTGCAAGGTCTTCCTGTGGCGAGGGGATTTATGCCTTTCCAAAAGAGCTCTTTGTCCAGATTGAAAACTTCCTATGCTTAATATCCGTATGTGCGCTGTAAGCATCTGGGAAGAAAATGGATCAATCTGTTTATAATTTCATACGTCTAAATCCATTTTTTTTTATTGTGCTGTAGCCATTGGAAGCAGCTATGAGCCGTCCAACGTCTCGGCCACAGAAAGGAGAGTTTCGGATTTCCCCACCACCAGTACCTCTGTTTCCACAACAGGCACCAAGGGTGGAGGGAGGACGTTAAGGTCTCTGCCAGCCAGCACCAGACTGACCCAAACAACAGAGATTTCCACCACTGGTACCGAAATCACCAGCTCTTCAGACCAGACCTGGTCTCCTGGGATGTCTTTGGGAGCCGAGGGTGGTGGTGGCAGAGGTGCCACAGACTTGCTGCTCACGGGCTCGCTGTCTGCTTCGGAAAGCACTTCCACGAGTGAGTTTTGATAGCTAGCTGTATAACTCAGAACATTATTTAAAGACTCTTTATAAACAAAATACATCCTTTTTATTTTAAAGAAAGGAGGAATAATATTGTATTTGGCACATTCTGTACATTTAAAAACATTTCACAGAAATGAAAGTATGGATAAATATTATTCTTGTTGGAAGAGGAGGACAGATTTTCCTTGAAAACTTTCAGTTGAATTTTGCAAGCAATAACTTCAGGAGTTCCTATGTAGAGACCATTTTTTCCCCCTGTTTTAATGATTTCCTAGTATTAAATATTTCCGTATTGAATATTCACACATACATTGTCTACATCTACTGATAGCGGGATGAAACATACCCAGCTGTTTTCATTTATGTGTATGCAGTTTTATATTTCTGTTCTCCTTTTTTTCAGCCTTTAGCAGCAGTTATGAACCAAAGAGCATCCCAGCTGCAGAAGAGGCAACGCTGCACTTGGATGCCCGTGGTACTGACAAGCCCAGCATGGCACCAGCATCCCCCCTAAATGGCCGCACAGCTGGGGTGACAAGGAGCTCTGCCACCAGCACCGACCCCACCAGCTCTTTGGGGGGGACCTTCTCCTCCTCGGGGGCTGGGACACACCATCCTAATGGCTCACGGGAAGCCACCGACCTCCCAGTGCCTCCTGGGCACCCTTTGCTCACAAGCTCCCTCTCTGCCTCTGAAAGTACTTCCAGAGGTAAATTTGTTAGTCTGAAAGTTGGCTGCTTTGGGGTCGGATGGGATTTCACATCCCGTGCTGTTTTTCTTTAGATATGGCCATCGGTCGCTATTGGATATGTGGGTATTTTTATTACTGTCTGCCTCGGGCTTGGGGGAAGGGTGGGAGTGGATCTCAGCTTTTGGGTTAAAAAGTGAAAAAACATCAATGTCCTCATTGCTAATGAAACTCCCGTGCTGGGAAAAGCAGCCATCGTTCAGAAATACGTGCATGCACTTTTTCCCTGCCGGAGACACTTTTGGTGGGGATTTGCAGCCGTTGCCCGGCGCTGCGTCTGCCGTGCAGTCTGGTCTCTGAGAGAGGTGGCATTTTGAGAGTCCCCGGCTGACTCACCCCGTGCCCTTGGAGTGGTCCCAAGTGAGCTCTGCCCCACCATTCACCATTAATTCACAATTAAGCCCATCACTTTGCGAGTCGTAGTGCGGCTCCTGCTCTTAGTGAGCTGGTGAAATATTGGCATCCCCAGCACTGTGGTTTGGGAGAGCCCTGGGGCAGCACGCCTGCTAAACGTGGGGTAAATCAGGCTGGGTCGAACGCCAGGCTTGGGTGCTGGGGTGTTTATGAGCATCTTATGGGTGAGGCTGTGTCTGGCCCTGTGTGGTCCTGGGTGCCCGGGGCTGTGGGGGGCTCAGCCCCACGGCCATGCCATCAGCCCAGCACTGAGATGGCAGCCTGACTCTCTGGACTGTCACCAAAAAACCTACACCAGGCCTTTTTTATCTCATCCCTTAGAGTTGCTTTGAAGTTAAAGGTATATACTCCTGATTTAAACAGGCTCAAAGGCACCTTAAATGCGTAAATTGGATATTGTGCACAGCCTGCAGTTAAAAAACATGGTTTTAAGTTGTGATTTTCATGGCTTTTTGTAAGCCACATGTGCCTGAACGTAGGGGATTCACCTCTTCCCAGAGCAGCGCCTTTTCCAGGCTGAGAGCTTGGTCTATTCAATATCTCAACAGTGTACATAGACTGTACAAACAATCCCTCAAATGTATATATGCATAAATCAAACATGGTTTTATTGTATCTTAGGTGTCAGAAGCAGCCACCAACCAGTTAACAGCTCAACGACAGAGAAAAACCCCCTTGCTTCCTCTCCCACCGGCGCTTTCATTTCAACCATGGCCACTGGCAGCGGCGGGGGGGCCCCCCGGGGCCCCCCCCCGGCCCCCTGCCGATGGGCAGCAGAAGTCTCCACATCCAGTAGTGACGCGTACAGGACCTTGGGCACGATCCGATCCTCGTCCGTGTCTTCTGTGAGAGAGACCTACGGAGTTCGTGGGTCCAGAGAAACCACAGATTTCACGGAGCATAACATGCTAACACGCTCTCACTCTCCTTCAGAAGGTCCTTCCCAAGGTGAGCTCAAGTTAGAAGCGAATTACCATTTTTCTTGTAAGTAAAAGGAGGACAGTTATTGTATCTTACACTTGCCTGACTCTTTTCCCCTGTCAAAAGATGTGACAGCTATGCAGAATATATTATTTGGAAGGATGCAGTATGATTTTTGTATCTGAAATATTTCAGCTCTTGCTGGACCAAAAAATGTGGTTTGGGTTTTTGACAGAAAGGGTCCATGTGTGGAAAGTTTTGTTACGCCAAGAAAAACAATTAACTTTCAAATCACGATTTCTTTTTTTACTGTCACCAGTTGCTATCTCCATTTTATAGGCAGGAGAACTAAGCAAGGGAGGATTAGATCATGTCCCTGCAGTCCCAGGGACTGGACCTCAGTTCCTGCCCTCTGTCCTGCCCCTTGGACCATGCTGCTCCCCAGAAATCGAACAAGTTCAACAAATTTAAGGCAACTTTGAATGTGGTCTCGGAGGCCCTTCATGCCGCTGCTTGGTCCTAGACCCTGCTGCGATGCTGAAGAGGTCTGATCCCCCTGGCCCCATTTCTTCAGACTTTTTCTCTAAGATCTTCACCCTGCTCAGTGTTGTGCCTTGTCTGAACTGATTTCCAGGCTTTTCTGGGTTGTTATGGTATTTGTTTGTTCTAGCAGCATGGAGTGCACTCAGGCACATAATGGTGAAATCAAGTGCACGGCGTAGCGTTTCAACGGTTTTTATATAATAGCACTTTTCTCAGCATCAAACCATGTTTTTTAGAAGACAAATTTCTGTAGGAAGGATTCACGTCTTTGGAAATTTCCTATTTTCTCTGGATTGACATCTCATATTTTCTACTTGTACATGTACTTGCTGCCTCTGGGTGTTACTGGAGGAAAACTCGTCTGTTTATTTATAGTTTGACATGTGTAAAAATGTAAATTGTTTCTTTATCACATCTTAGCTACTGGAAGCAGCCATGTGTCATTCAGCATCCTGTCAACAGAGAGAAGAACCGATTTCCCCACCACCAGTACCTCCGTTTCCACAACAGCCACCAAGGGTGGAGAGAGGACGTTAAGGTCTCTGCCAGCCAGCACCAGACTGGCCCAAACAACAGAGATTTCTACCACTGGTACCGAAACCGTCAGCTCTCCAGACCATACCTGGTCCTCTTTGGGAGCCCAGGGTGATGGTGGCAGAGGTGCCACCGTGTTGTCCGTGGACCCATTGCTCACAGGCTCGCCGTCTGCTTCAGAAAGCGCTTCCCCAGGTGAGCTCTGACCGTCCCTGTGGGGCTTCTTCCTGTAGACCTCAAACATCCACTCTGTATGGAGGTGTGAGGGCATGCTAGAAGGTGCTGGACAATGGCATTGGGCATTATGGAGGAAAATTTCAACTTCCAGAGAAAAATGCATTAGCTGTTTTTTGAATTTAGTCCCCAGAAAAACCCAGCTTTCTTACAAGACCAGTCTGGCCCCGAGACTTGGTGTGTTTTCTGAGACAGCACAATTTCAAGACTGCCCCATGAGCTGTGTTTATACAAGCAGGAGGCAACACCAGTCATTCCTGACTCCCTCCCTGGGATGCAAATGCAGCATTTACTGACACCGTACAGCCCTGCTGAGCTTTATTTCAAGTATTGGGGAGTCAGGAGCTGCTGTGACCCCACCTCGCTCACCATGGGCGCGCAGTGCCCACGGCTGGAGTGCAGTGCCAGGAGCAGCGCTGAAGGGAAGCAAACCCAACCGCGCTCCCGTGACTTGTTCCTAGTGCCTTCTTCAGGGTGTCTTCCCGTGAGCAGCACCTCCTTGTTCAGGAAGGGCTTGTGTCTTCACAGTTTTCTCCAAGTTTAGATCTTCTGCTGTGTTATATCTGTGCCGTCAGCCTAAGGGTGGTGATGGAAGAGAGCACGCCCACCTGTTTATAACTTAGGGTCTATAAATTCATTTTGCTTTGCCCTTTCTTAGCAGAAGGGACCTTGGCTACAGGAGGACGCCTGCCCGATGCTCCTCTCACCAATATGCCCAGCTCATTGGTAGCCACCAGCGGTGGGGAGAGGAGCACAGTGCCTGTGTCAGACACCCGCGCAGCATCCAGCATGGCAGGGAGCTCTGCTCCCACTCCGCGCCGCACCAGCTCCCTGGACGTGGTCCTTCTGCCGTCCTCATCGGCAACAGAGCCTGGGAGGCAGAGTGATGTTTCGCAGAGCGGTGCCGGACGCAGCGAGCTTCCAACGGAGCTGCTGCCTGCATTTTCTCCCAGCATTTCAGTGCCTTCGCCTTCACCAAGTGCTTCAGGTGAGTCTTGTGGTTTCCCAGTTTGCTGTGGAGGACATCCCTCCTTCTCACACCCTTCCCGAGCTCCCACCCTTCCTTTTCTAGCTTTAAACTAGATTTGCCTTTTTAGTAAGCCTGGTTTATAGTGAAGGGTGTCTGAGGGCCCTGAAGGGCGCTTCTTGTGTTGGGAACTAGATGGCCAGGCAGCTCTTCTGGGCCACATGTGAAGGCTGCCATGGAGCCTGGACCTCAGCCTTCAAACCAGGGAAGCCTGGCACGAGATGTGCCAGAACTTTCTGCAGGACATCCAAGACCAGGTCCTACCTCCCTGCCACCATTCTTCTTCAGAAACACCATGCACCACAATCTGTTTTATTTTTCTAGTGTAAAGGGGAAAAGTACAGATCGCCTGCGAACCCCACTTAGCAAATAAGTGATGTTGGTCACCAAGCACCACCTCTTCTGCAGGAATTTAAATATTCAGATTTTAGTCCCTGTAGAGGCCTCAAAGGTATTGTTAATACATAAAATATATATATTTTTTATATATATATGTACATGTATGTATATCTCTGCTTTGCAATTCCAGAGAGAGGAAAAAGATTTTCCGGTGCTCCTACTGAGACCACGTACGTCTCAACCTCACTCTTCAGCCATGAGGAGGGGACATCTCGAGCTGATGCTAACCATGGCACATGGAGCACGGCGGCAGCAAGCCCCACATCTCACCCGCACACGGCTGGGGAGCCCCGCACAGGCCCCCTCCCATCCTCCACGGCATGGCCTGGAGCGGGACACGTCTCATCCAGCCGTGCGAGGTATCCCGAGCCCGAGGTCACCCTTTCATCCAGGGTCTCCACCTACTTCTCGGCTGCCAGTGAAGCTTCCAGTGAGTTTTTTCTGAACTCCAGGATGGCATTTGAATTTGGAAAAAACCCACTCCCTCTTCCTCCCCCTCTTCTGTGGGGTTGGTATGACCACCAACACGTGTCAGAGCTGTTGTGGGTGTCATGGGCAGGATTGATAAGCAGTGGTGATTTTGCTCCTTGGTGTTGTATATCTGCAGCTGTTGATGCTTAATAAAAAAGTCTAAGAATGAGACATATAGCTTCTTGCTGTAGGATACATCTACTACCTCCCCTGGGTTGGGGTGATAATTATAAATAACATAAATATGCCCATTATGACTCTAACGGTACTGATTGTCCCCCTGTATTTGGACAGTCCTGTTTCTTCGGACTAGGCTTTGTGTGTTAAATCCACATTTAAGGTGATAGATGTGTGAGATCTACTTAATCTGTATTTAATCTGTGTTTATCTGTGCAATTTTATTAATCTGCATTTCCAAACAGAATTATTGTAGAACTCACAAGTGCTCTCTGCTCTGAGATGATAAAATCAGATGCCTACTTTTCGATCCTATTCCAGCCATGGGCAGCAGCCATCGCTCCCTAAGCAGCTCGAGTGCCGAGGAAAGGATATCCAGCCCCATCACTGATCCTGCATACAGTTCATCCATGTCTGCTGGAGGTGGAGAGAGGACGCTGCACTCGGTGATGGATGGCACACTGGCTGGTGGCACGGAGAGCTCCGCTTCCTACGCCGAAACCGCCAGCTCTCGAGGGCCGGTTGAGCCAGCGTCGGTGGAGCAGAGCAGGACGGCCAATGCCTCTGCCAGCAGTGCAAGTTTCACAGGCTTTGCGACGGAGACACTCTTCACACGCTCTT